AGACAGAGAAGATGATTGCATTTCAGACACATGAGACTTCGTTTGCTTCCTCGTCAGCAGGGCTGTTTCCATGAATATTTGGCGTGTCCATGTATCCGGAGAAATATAACGTGAGTTCGTTGAGGAAGGAAGCAGAGCGTTCGTCGTAAACCGTTAAGAATTGGGTGGGATGAATTATGAAGAGTGATGAGAGCTGTAACGACGAATGGGAGTTGGTGCATATGACTGCCCTTTGCTTGATGTGGAGCTTTGCTTACCTTGCTTGATGTGGAGCAGGACTGCCAGGATTGCTATTAGTTCAGCCAATACCAGGTACTAACATTTGACAGGCGTTTGACTTGTGGTAATCATGATGTACGAGGGCAGCTCCTATGCGGCCATCGCGTCGGGGAGCCGTCAGTGCGAATGAAGGCGTGCTGGTCTGTGCTCAAACTACCCCTCGTCTCACGCAGTTTGAAGTTGCGACTTTTGGAGTGTTAAAGTATGCTGCTGACATCCCCAGGTGCATCACTGCGTGAAATTCTGGGGCTTAAATCAGACGGACGCGATACCCTCGGCGCGTGTGAACATGCTCCATTGGTTTAACATGGGGAGCGCGAAAATTGCAGGCTGCTAAAAATCGCCGAAAGGGGGTGGAATACATGTCGACGCCAAAAAGAACAGGCATCGTACCGCAAAGGGTAAAGTGACGCGCGATGATGCGCGCGGGGCACGCGTGCGCAAATGGCAGATTACACGGTTTGGGAGTGATTTTTCAGGGTTGGTGCGAGATCTGGGCCACCCCAGCGGATGGCGAAGTGAAGCAGACTGCACCGTGCAGGTGCGTGGTACCGGCTGCAGATTATCCAGACAGCCCGGCGGTGAAGTGAAGCAGACTGCACTGTGCAGGTGCGTGTACCGGCTGCAGATTATCCAGACAGCCCAACATCGTCAGACACATAGCGAAGCCGCAAATCGACCGGAGAGCGGTCAACGTTGCGTTTTTGAAAACAGTCATACTCAGCAGTCATCAATGTCTGTCACTCAAACAATCGAAGACAAACAATATGCTGACGGCTAAACCGAGCAAGCGAAGGCCATGAAGTTGACGTAGACGTAAAGCCCAGTTTGCTGCGGCAAATGCTCATCCAAATATGTGTGAATTGTGAAATACTCTGCTTGCGATTTCCAAGAACGTTCATCGCAGCAAAATGTCCCGTTTTATCGGTTCACATTGCTGCGCTCACTGGCCGGTACATGGCCGATCACGTATCGATATTGAGGGCGCCACTTTGCACTGGCCTTGCTCTACGGGGTGGATATTCCAAGTTTGGCGCTGTTCAGTCGGCATTCGAGGGTCGTGGCTAAACAGGTCGGAAATGATTCTGCTGAGACATCACGCATTTGTAACGAGCGCTTATGTCGTGCAGGTGGATTTAAGCCTTTGAAAGGTTGAGTAGCTACACCACATATTACGTATGTCGCATACGAACGCGGCGAATATTTAGCGCGAGAGGGGACATTTGGCAACCCGGACGATGGTGACGCAGAATTAAACGATGCAACTGAGACCAAAGAGCTCGTGCACATATTGCTGCTCTGCGGGAGCATCGACAGCGCTATGCTCAACACGCGCAGCTGACCGCGCGCCTGCGGAGTACGGTGCATGAACCGGCTAATTTCATCACGTCTTGCGATAATTGCCAAGGGCGGGCTGCACCAGAAACTTCATATTTGGCGTCCAGCCGACAATGCAGTCTCCGGCCAATGCTGGCAAATAACTTTACAACAAATTTCAGCGTTGCTCGACGCATTAGGGCTGCCACGACTTTCGTGAGAAGAGGGGGGTAGAGGTAAATGTGCCAAAGATTTGCATCACCACTGCTACCCCTCCCTCACCCAACAATTTTCTTCTTGGCTTCGATCACTTCATTTTTCAGTCAAACACTACTCCCCTCCAAAAGCATCAAGTGAAGGTGAGATCCTCTCATCGTGTCATAAGTGGTGGCGTAGGCTGGGGTCAGGGGGCACAGGAAGCAGGTGCCTCCTCCCCCCACGTAGGTCCCGAAGGCCATCCAGTCCCTTTTGGTCGCACGGGACCGAGGCCAAGGGCCAGATTTGGAGGGCTCGAACGGGCCAGAAAGACTGGCCGGAGTTCGTACTCAGGGGTCTTGGCTCCATAGGGCCGGATCCTCTAATGCCAGTCAGGGGACCCTTTGCGCTGATCGGGAGCCCATGGTCGACGAGGGCTTGATATCGACCAGGCGTCACTAGTCAGTTAATTAATTTTTTATTGATGCATCTTTCCTCTTTTAAAACGTCATTTAAACATCTTACAAAACATCAAGAAATATTGCAGCGGGTTTGAGTACAGAAATCGGTATCGGCCAGGAAGCGTTGTGAAGAAGGGGAAACTGAACGTTTACCTCAACTACTGGAATATGAAATAATTATTATTTATCGACTAGTATCTAGAGTTGGTATACGCCATACGCCATATGCGGCGAGGCTTACCAGGTGATAATGTGGTAAAAGCTCCTAAAAGAGGAAGAAAGAATGGATATGAGCGCTCCGCAAAATCAGCAAAGATCAATCTTACGAGCATCTGAGGTTACAAATGTTGTGTTCGTAAAACGGCAAGCTTTCCAGAAGGGTGAGTAAGACGATGCGCCAGTGAGAACCCTAGCCTCACGTTGAGCCTATGGTTGGATACCACAAACTATTTTACCAGTCCAATCATATCGTTACATTAATCAGACATGGCGGTGCAGGCCGCTGAATGTACAAGCGACGGATTAAAATTCCTGAGCAAGCTACAAAGCCGCAAGCCCAAGGGCAGCCGATGATTCCCCATGACCACGGTACAGTGTCGGAGGCGCGCTGTTTCAGCTGTCGAGGAACCCGGGCCGGCTGCCATCAGCATGATAACACTACATACACTTTGCACTGGGGTTTCATTGCATGGAGAAATGCTGACATACCGTCTTCATAATGTAGTGCTGATGGCGTTCTGCTGGCGAGTACACCAACCGCAGGGACACGAACAGTGCGCGGTGCTGGTAGCGTGGAAACGCGTTGCTAGCAACAACTAGCGCGCTATTGGGACAAACCTAGCAACGCTCCAACTCGGGCATTGCGTGTGTCAGCGTGTCTGCCGGCGCACTCGTCCAGTGCCATCGACCGAGAGACCTACGCTATCTTGTTGCTAGCCGTGAGGCCAAGCTAACGCTGTCCTGCAACTCACAAACGAGGAGCAGCGCGTCAGGCCCAGCTCGTGGCATGGCCTTCCTCAGCGCCGCGGCCACCGCCCAGTGTCTCCTGCTGGTCCTGCTGGCCGGATTGGCGGAGGCAAAGTACGCCAGCGGCTCGCGGCGAACCGGTAAGAGGCTGGTGGGTCAGCCGCCGCTCGAGCAGCACCTGGTAGACAGGGCTGACCGCTGCCTGGCGCTGTGCGACGGCTTGACTTCGTGTAGCGCCTTCAACTATGGCCCGGTGGCAGCGGCAGTCAACTGTCAGCTGCTGGAGCAGCAGGCGTGCCAGGGCCACTCGCTGGTCAGTGAGGCGGGTGTGGATTACTATGACGTCACGGAGCAGCCGGCTCGCCAGGCGGAGCTGGCCCAGCCACACTGGGAAGACGTCAGCTGTACGCGGGACGGCTACTGCTCCGATGTGTGCACCGCCCGAGCCGTGGGACAGTTCTGCACCTCCGACTTGCATTGCACTTCGCCGCCTCTGAGCCCGCCAGGGGCGTACCTCTGCTCCAGCGGCTCGTGTCAGCTAAATGACTCCTTCTGGGAAGTTCGGCCCGGCCTCGCCATGCCCAGGGGCATGGACTGGTTTTTGGAACCAAACTACTGGACCTTCAAGAAACTCAAGCCAGGAACGTGCTCTTTGAACGTCAGCCTCAAAATCCGCAGCACCTCACGGGCTGTGATCAGCGCCAACCACTTAGACGATCACACAGGCACTCTCCTGGCTTTCGGAGTCACGCTCAGCGCAACGGACATTTACTATAAAGATGCGGCGGGAGACTTCCATCAGCTGGTGACTAACGCCAACACTCCCGGCCTGGTCAACACGGAAACATATAGCCGTCTGAATGTCTCCTGGTGCGGTGGCACCATGACTATCGGGCCTGAGGACAACCCGACCTTGCTCAGTGGGCAGGCGACTGTCACGCAGTCGATTGACTACGTGATGGTGCAAAGCCAGAATGAGCCGGCCTGGCTGCGAGTGGATTCAAACGTGGCCGACCGCTGGCTGTTTGTGGAGGCCGGCACCGGACCCGACCCCGTCTTCACAACACGAGATAGCTACATCTCCATAGGGATCGACGCAACCAATGACGTCACCATCAAGTTTGACTGCATGGCGGCGTCAGACTGTAACGTCATGTTCAGCGGACCCTCCACGGAAAAGCTGATTGTCTGCGTCAGTTGCTCTGGCAACTTCGTTACGTGTTTGAAATACGTTCCACCTGCCATAGGCCTGTCTGCTACCTCGCTCTGCTCTAACACGGGTGACATCCTCAGCATGACTGCCTACACCACGCTCACCGTCCGGTACAACAACGGCTTTGTGACTGTCTTCAAGGGCGATGACCAGGTGCCCATGTACGCGGTGCAGGCGGAGCGGCCTCTGCCGGAGGTCAACTGGGTGGGCATCGGTGGCTGCTGCGGCCGGAAGTACATGCGGGCTGCTCGGTATGACCCGCGCTGGAGAACCGACACCTGGGTCACGCAGGGGACCGGCCTCTCCAACGCTGCGGCTGAAACCGGGCTCTGAGCAAGCGAGCGGGCTGAGCTCTGCATCATGCCTTTTGGGAGAGAAGAATGAGGTAATGCGATTTGACCCTTATTTTTGCGAAGTGCTCTCAGTCCTCCAGCAAAATCTTAACGGTTTTGAATTTTTCCTCAAAGTCTTCATCATTGCAATCACTTTCTTCTGGCATCAAGAAGTAAGGAGTAGTAAGACAC